GTATGCCAGAATTTATACTAACCCATTAAGTCTGCTGTGTGTTGTAAAACAGTGGGGTGTGGGTTTTTTTTTTTGGTGTCCATCCCCCCCCCAGTAGATGTAAGTCCTTATTCATAAAGTTTGGATGAGATCTCACCTCTTCACTGGCTTGGCAAACAAGCTAAAGCTGCATAAATATATAATAAACTCCAAGGCAAGGGGGATGCTAAGGATACTTAAAAGACTTTGGACAAGCCCAAATTAACAAGCACCCAGAGATGCTAGTGGGTATTAGAGTCACATGTCAAAACAGGACCAGAACACCAAGTAATGATCAGGCTCAGAGCCACCCAAGGAGGTGGTTGTAATTTGGCAGAGAGTCTTAATTATTCTGCGATTCTTTCCAAGTTTCTCAAATAGACCCAGATGAAAAAGGTATTTAAAAACCACCATGTTCTACCGTTTTTCCAGATTACATGTTCTGACCACTTGGTGAGAGAACACATTATCTTCCTTACATCTGCTGTTAGTGAGAAGAATTTACAGGGCACTACGGTATTCATTGGATTTCTCTTATGCAAACTCCATCAGACAGGATAGTAGATTGAATAATATTTTCAATATACTGAAAGGGAAATATTATTTGTACTTGCAGGTATTGTGATAGTTAATGTTTCCACAGGGCTTAGAAGTTAGTGTTATATTAATCATTCAGATGATAAAGGTATTATCATATTTATTTACTACTGATAACAGATCCTCCTGCTATGTATGCTGCTTCTATTAAATGAATGCTTGCCTCGTGATATATGTAACAGGTGACAATTTGTCATCATGTTACAGTTTGTCCTTCCTTCAGATGTCTCCATTTGGTTTCAGTGTAATCTAATGACTGAATACCCTTCCTTTTCATCCACATTTTGAGTCAACTCATAATCAGAAAACATGCCCTTTATTCAGACTGTGGATGAAGTTTTTTAAAAGCCACCTACGTACCTTTGAAAAAAGTAATGTGGACTACCCAGTCATGTAAGGACTTCTGAAAATATTTCTGTAAATTTGGGCAGTGGTGGGTTAATTTGGATGCAGATGTGACCTGCATGTGAGACGAAAGGATAGACAGCTAATACCCAGCTGGGAGTGCTAATGTGGAATGAATGCAGTGTCTTCAAATCCAGTCACATAGATCATCTCATAACCAATGACAAAATACACCAGATCATTAGGATATGGTCCTGTTTTCATAGTGTTTCCCAGTCTATGTGGAATTCTGTTCAAATTCTGGATATCTAAGACACAGAAGATGCATTGCATTCATTGTGAGCTGTCCATTTTAAGGACATAGACAACTGGAAAGAGCTGAGAGGATGGCAACAAGAGTGATCAAAGGATTGGAAGTGTGATGTATTATATCTCTTCAGACTAAAATGTGTGAAATAAATCACGGGGATAGGAACATTGGCACTGAGTGATTTTTGCATATGATAGTTTTGGAGATTGCATAAAATTCAGACATTTTGAGATGGATTTTAAATGGCATAAAATGTAATTAAGTGACTTGTTTTAAGGAAAACTGGTGAAAAATATGTGCTTATCCATTTTCAAATCTTCCCTTTTAAATGCCGAAAATATATTAAACCTTAGGGTCATAATATAGGTAATTGAACTAGGAAGTGAAGAATAAAAAATTAAAAATGAGGATTTGTAAGTCCCAATAGAAATAGTGAGAGGCAGCATCACAGACAAAAGACATGCAGTTTTCCTCGACTGCCTGCATATCACAGTCACTTTGAAATCTAAGAACCCCAGTGCTCCCTTTGGTTTTCAAAAGCTTTTGCCTTCTGTCTAAAAATCAATTTTGCCTTGAATTGATTATGGAAGGTACTGTATTTGAATTCTTAGATTGTGGTTAGTTCTGCAATTAACTGTGGGACTGACTTTTGGATGAGGTTTTGGATGAAATATACCGTTTGTATTCCTCTGTGCATTATGGATTATTTCATCTTTTTGGAGCTAGATTATTTCTTAACTTTCATTTGCAATATCAAGTTATTTACAGCTGGGAGCAACAGGTACAGCCATGGCAGCAGTGGCACTTTGCAAGAAGACTTGTATATTAAATACTCTGATCTAGGGAGATTTGGTCTCATGGTTCCAGGACAACTTGGATCCATTTCAGATGCCAGTGTTAAAAGGCTTTTGGTGCCTGATGGAAGGACTGAGGAGAAAGTTTTAGCTTACATGGAGCTAAACATCAGGTGCCTGTACTTTTCCATGAAAACCATACGTTAAGATTATGTTTCATAGTAAGCATAGTAAGTTAAGATCATTTCATAGTAAGCATATTTAGACTTCTTTGCAAAAGGAACCATCAGTTTAAAGTTCTCTTCATACATGCATTAAATTTCTACTGTTTCATAAAAGAACAGTACAAAGCATGTTATTGACAATTCTGTTGTTGAATTCAGCAAAACTAAAATGAAACATTGTGTAGAAATTCAGTCTTCCTTGCAGAAAGGTGTTGCTAAGACCATACTGCTAGACAATGGAAAACATAGGTTTAATTTATGAACTTTTGTCTTTTCTCAAGAAGCATAAGGGTTATAACTGCATCTAATTAAAAAGAAAAACTGCATAACAATATACCATAAAACATTGCCCTAAGAGGCCCCAAGCAGCTATGAACCTTGTAAACAGTTGCAGTAGAGGTATGCATCTCAGAGAATATAATATAACATTTCATATTCACTTACCTTAATTGGGCTATAACTTGCAATAGGAGGAAATCAGTAAGGTGAATTAAAACTACTGTTGTGTGTTTTTAACTTATTCTAAGGTAAAATGTAATTAAGCAACAATACCATGTTGATGTTTAAAGATATCAACCATAATAACACTGCCCTTCACTTGTGTTGCAAATGTAATTTTCCTAATATGATAAAATGTAAAGTATTCTCCTTTGCTTGTTTCTGTTGTTAATTCATATTTTCCTGCTTAGTAGCCTATGAAGCTTGGCAAATTTAGCAACAGTCTCATTATGTGCAATCATGTAATTTGTTTCATCATGTGGAAGCTGCTATTTGAAGCTATGACTGTTTGATTTGCCTAATTTTAGTTACACTTTTAAAACCACATATTCTGAAAGTATGGTATAGGAATTACCTACGGACTGAAAGATCGTGAGTTATCTGTAGACCATTCCAGGACCTAGGCTTCAAGGGGTCTCAGGGTTGCAGCTCTGTAGCATTCATTGCAGTGCTTGAATCAATGTATTAATAATATACAAGAAGGGTCATATAGCACCACATTTGGGTCTGTTTCTGGATGATGCGTTGAGTCATACAAAACAAATTGTGAACCGTTACTAAAACTATCAAGAGAATACTTACGCTCTTTAAAAAAGGTAATGGTGTGCAATGGGGAAAAAAATTCTGAAGTTTGATTTCTGATGTCAAAGATAAAACAAGCTTAAAGTTCCTTTGCATATTCCTTGACACAGAATCTATGCTGGCATTTATGTTAACATTTAGTTCAAAGCAGGAGCGTGTGCTGTGTTTTGTTGTTGTTGGTTTTAGTTTTTTGTTGTTGTTGTTTGGGGATTTTTTAGGCGAGGTTCCCAATTCTTCCTACTTTCTGAACATTAGTTCATGTTGCAGAGCAATTTTAGCTAATATAGATGGGATTCCTTTCAGATGAAATAGAGGGTGCACTCTGGAAGCACTTGATGTATTCCAGCCATTAATTGGTATTGACGTCATGGGACCAGGCTTAGAGGTCTTCTGAAATAACCCCACCAAAAACATGTGTAGTGCAAACATTAGGTCCATAGTACCAGCTGTTTCACTCTACAGATCTGTTCCTATTTGTGTCATTTACCACAGAATTTTTTAAAAGGATCATCAAATCAGTGAAGAAACAACTAATTTTTGCACTGAAGCATATCCATATTTCTTGCATTTTTCACATGAGATAAGGATATCTGAGTTCTGCCAAATATTCATTCAATACATTTATGTTATCTCATAGGAATATGTAATAAGGTCCTCTTCCTGAATTATTATGAGGAGTCACTTGTACTGCATAAAGTCTTATTTTTTTTTCCTACCAAGCCATTAAGTAAATGACTTTTTATTGTTTTCTATTTAACATGTGTCATGTTATCACTGCGCTGATTTGGCTTGTGCATTTTCTGTTTTGAATGTGAGAGGAAGCTCCAATATACTGGAATAGGGGAAAATTTAATTAAACAGGTCTATTTTAATGTTGGCTTTATCTCATGATTTACAATATCCTGTTGATGACAAGTGTGTTATTATTGCTGCTGCAGAAAACCAAAAATGTTTTGAGCTGCCAAGGAAAGGATAATCTGTCAGGTGTATGCTAACAAACACCAGTACTGGAGGATTAAGCTTGAAGAGTTTGCTCAGATGTATTTAAGAATACTTCTAAAATTGCTTATATTTCTATAAACTTAGATGTATTTGCACTGAATATTCTAACTCTTAGAGTTAAATCCTCTAATGAAATATTCTAAATCTTCTTGATCTTCTGGGTGACATGCTTTTGTGATGTATTCTGCACCATAACTAAGGTTAGCTACAATCCTATGCTTTTGCTTTCTGCACTGGAACTTTGTAAGCAGGTTCAGCATGCAGCATCTTTCTGCTGTAGAGAAAATAGTATGAGAATTTAGTCCTTATGGAGAAAAAATATGTCTAATTTCATATTGTCCAAGATCTAATTTAGGTAGAAAAGGGAAAATGCACAACACACCGCAGTGTCCAAAAGATCTATAGGGTAACTCTTAAAACATGGTGTAGTTGTAAACAGTGCACTTCTTTTGTGCATGAATCATTCATTATTGAATACTGCTGCATTTAAGAATAACAGGATCTTACATATGAGTTGAAAGACATACATATTTTAAGCTCATTTGCTTTTTTTTTTACTATTATTGTCAGAGAGCTGTTTTATAAAATGGTCTCCAATCCATTAAAATCAATATTTATTTAATTTTATAGTGGCCTTAAACTTCCAGACACCGGGACTACAAATGGAATTGCAAGTTGGAAAATTCCAAGACAATGGTGGTTGTGGCTATATTCTGAAACCAGAATTCTTGAGAAATCACGATTCAACATTTACCCCACACAGTGTTGGTAGATACAGTAAACCTATGTCTCTGTCAATAAGGGTAAGTTTAGTTAATTGTTGGTTTGTTCCATAAAATCTAAAAAGAAATGTTCTGAAGTTCAGACTTATTTGTTATCTATTATTCGTTTCTTATTTTACCCCCATTCCTGGTTGTTGCAAAGTTTAATATAATTCTTTTAACATGATAAATTTTTCCTATAGTATCTCCTGCTGCTTGGATGGTTTTCCATCTGTAGTTCACTTATGTTTTCTAAAAATATGTAGGTGTTCAAAAGTTTAAAAAGTGTGTAAAAATACAGATTTTTTCAGTGTTTTGAACAGGAATGTAAATATTACTTGCACTGTGTCACAAGTATAGCTGACAAAGGGACATGTCAGTTACAGTTGTGGGGACTGAACTCTGAAAAGTCAGAAATCGAATGTGCAATTTTGGTGCTATTTTCTTTAAATATTAGTAATACCACATGTGCTACTATAATGCTATTTGAAAAATTGAACTGTTTAAAGGTACGATATGAAGCGTTATGCTTCTTTTAATTTTCATTACCTCCCTATGCATACATAAAGGACTACCATCCTAAAATGATATAAATGTCAAAAGGGGGATAAATCAATAAGACTTTAAATAATTTCTACTTCTCCCAAGTTAAAATTTGACTTCTTAAAAATATTAGAAATACATGTAATTTAAAAATAATTGGTTAGAACCCCCCTTTTTTTGAGGTCAAGTAGATGTTTTATAATGGTTCACTACTTAGAAAGCTACCTTTTCCCAACAAAAAAGTGCTATTTCTGAATACACAGCACACTACTTGCATAAATGATGTTTAATTAGCATAAAATTAGCGTATAATTGCTATTTTGATCCTTACAGAGAAATAAATATTGGAGATAAAACATTAGCTAATAATAATTATAAAATACTTACATAATGTATGCACCTAATCAAGAACATTTTAGTGTCCTAACAGTGAGCATACCAATTATGAATAGACATTACTGGATGATTTCCAGCACCCATGCATATACTTCAGTTATTTTAACTTGTATTTATATAAAGCTGGAGTTAATTAAGATGAGGAAAAATCCCCAATTGTAATGCAGGAGACAGACAAAATAATTGACATTGGGAAGGAAGAAGTTGCAAAAGAGAAAGGCAGCTTTTTAGACTGAGAACATGGACTGAGACAACAGGCTGGGTAGTGGGGGATACAAAGAAGCTGAGAGTCTGTAGGGTGTAGAAAGCCCCATTCATAGAGTCAGAAGCAAAAAACAGGAAACTGGTTGAAGACAAAAAGAGTCAGGAGCAGGAGTCAAAGAAAAAACAGTTTCTGCTAAAGAAGAGTTACTAACTTGACTGGAGAAATTACTTAACAGAGGGCAAACATCTGTGAGTCAAATCTCAGATTGACTGTGAATGAGTTAATGAATGGAGGAGCATAAATGAACACAAAAATCACACAGGGCCTGATTTTACTGAATTCAATATAATTTGTAACCCAATGTGCCACAATTCCTATCAACAAGAAGCATATAACCTTTAAAGCAGAAATACAAATATTCAAATTATTTTATGTGTAAACTTCTGAGCCCGCCATGTTATTTACTACTCTCTCTGTACGTCTTCTTCACCTTGGGTCTCAAAAATTGGATTGATAGATTTGGGTCATAGTGTGCTGAAAAGATTTTGCTCTTTTTCCACCCTGTGGGAGACTTAGACTGGGTCTAGCAATGGTGTATGAGTGGGAAGCAGGACTTGGCCAATGTGGCTGAATTCTCATCATATCATTCAGGGCATGTCAAAGACCTCTCCTAGTTCTAAGCAGGCAGCCCATCAGTGCTTGCACCTTGCAAAACTTTCTAGTGAAGACATTTTCGGAAGACAGGGGACAGCATCGGTGTTTGCTATTACGCTACTCTTCAATGTCTTGGGCTAGAACTTTTCTTGGAGCAAGGTGTTACAGAAAATACTTAAGCAAAATGTGGAATATGTGGGGTTTGATTATTTATTTTTTTTTTTTTTTTGGTGGTTGACGGAGAAATAGAGGTCTGTATCATGAGTTTTGATGCTTAGTCCTGAGATCTGGGTCATAAGTGTCATATCCTTCACCTAGGCTTGCAGGCTTATCTATCTCACTTGATACATTCCATACATCTCTTTCTAAAAAGCAGATTACTGTACAGATGGTTATTCTCTCTAATTATCTCCTAGATAGAAAGCAGACAAAGTTGTGACTTTCGTAAATCTTTTTGTAGGCTGGGTGCCAGATAACAGGGCAGTTTGAGGTAAAATTTCCAGGTAGCTAACTAAATTAAGGAAAAAAAAAAATCAGGGAGCCTACTAAACGCAAATTTTTTATGTGTTACTGTGAAAGAGAAGGAACACAGATGAAGCAGTCTGCTACATACCCTGTAACACAATGCTGATGTCATGATAGGTGTTAGTGCTGGTCCACTAGACACAGCTTTAACAGAAATTCATGAGTTTGATCTCAGAAAATACAAGAATAATGAGACTGATTCCTCCAATATTATTATTTTACATGGTAACCAAATATAATTTTTATGGCTAGTTATTGAATAAAAACTTAAATCTAAAAATTATTTTTCAAAGCATGATATATATATATCATTTTTTTTTAATGAGAATGGTGACAGGTGAAACCCTGTCTCCAGAGGTTGCTGAGAGAGGTGGCTGATGTCCCATCCCTGGAAACATGCAAGACCAGGTTGGACGGGGCTCTGAGCAACCTGATCTAGTTGAAGATGTCCCTGCTCATTGCAGGGGGTGTTGGACTAGATGATCTTTAACAGTTCCTTCTAACTCAAACCATTCTATGATTCTATAATTCTGAGAAATTAGCCAATAATTAAATTAAATGGGAAACACCATATTTTAAATTTCATTGTGTTTAATGTGTATTTTTATAACAGTTTATGGCTGATATGTGCTTCTCATAGTAGTTTCTTACGGAACTATTTTTGCTTCTATGGTTGCTATATGGCTATTATGTAAAGTTCATTCTTACAGTTATTTCAACACATTACAACTTTAATTTTCCAGCTTATCAGTGGTCATCAGTTACCACCCAGTAACCTGTCGAAGACTAACAAAGCTGACCCGTTAGTGAACATAGAAATTTATGGTGTGCCAGAAGATCAAACAAGAAAAAAATCTAGCGTTATAAAAAGTAATGGTGAGTGTCAGTCCTATTCTCTTGACTGCGAAGAAAGAACAATTATAAGGAATTACCATTTCTTTCATCCCAAGTCATTATGTACTTACAGAGACTGCAATTATTTCTTTCTAGACTAGGATCTTCTTACACAAAATCTGTAGCAGAAGTTCATGCTATGTGCCATTTTTGTAAACTAGTAGATTAAGGAAGCACAAACTCTCCTAGTTAGTGACTCTCCTAAAGGAAGATGGAATGCATGATCTTTACTCCCTGTTGTGGCTTATCCTGGACGGCAGCTCAGCCCCACACAGCCGTTTTCTCCCTCTCCCTGGTGGGACAGGGGAGTGAGTCAGAAGGGCAAAAGTGAGAAAACTCTTGGGTTGAGATGAAGACAGTTTAGTAGGTAATGCAAAAATTGTGTATGCAAGCAGAACAATATAGATCACCACTTCCCATTGGCAGGCAGGTGTTCAGCCATCTCCAGGAAAGCAGGAAAAGCTTTGTCATGTGTTATGGTTACTTGGGAAAACAGATAGTGTAGCTCCGAAAGTCTTCCCTTCCTCCTTCTTTCACCCAGCTTTCTATACTGAGCATGATGTTATGTGGCTTGGGGTACACCTCTGGTCAGCTGTGTCTCCTCCCAACTTCTTGTGCTCCCCCAGCCTCCTCGATGGGATGGGGAGTGGAGGGTTGCGGCATGAGAAAGAGAGAAGTCGTTGTCACTGTGCAAGAAGTGTTTATCAACAGCTAAAACACTGGTGTGTTATCAACACAGTTTTGGTCACAAATCCAAAACATAGCACTATACAGGATGACATGAAGAAAATTAAACCTATCCCATCCAAACCCAGGACATTAATTGGTAAATGTAAAGATATTTTTTTTTTTTCTGAAGAAATGTCTGTGATTTCATCACTTAGCTCATAGGAAGGTTAGTAGAACTACTCCCTTAATTGCTTGACAGGTGAACTGTGTACTCCTGTAGTTGTCTTGGAGCATTCATGTACCTTTGTCATAAGATCTTCTTGATGTCTCAGACTAGAAGTTCCCTGTGATCTGCCTTCTTCTGTGCCTCTGTCTTCTATTTTTCTTTTTTCCTTTTTGTAGATGGTTCATGTTTCAAAACAGTCCCTGAATTTCTTATGTCTTTGTATGAACATCATTCAAGACAAAGCACCCATCTCCTGTTCCATATCTTCTTTTAGTACTTCTAGTCAAATGATTGCTTGACTACCTTATTTTATTTAGCTCCTGAGATCTGAGACCTTCCCTCTGACAGTTTTAACTCCACAATCTATACAAAAGATGTGATCTATATATTACTGCTGTCAGTGTGAGTCTCATAATTTATTTAAATGGTCACAGAAATCTAGGGGAAAAGAATGAATGTTTAACAGTTCAGACTAGTAATAGCAGATACAATATTTCAGATACTAAGTAGAAAAAATGAAATGTTTTTTTGATACTGTGTATTTTCTCTTTTTGTTAGCTTTGAGCCCTAGATGGGATGAAGTCTTCTCTTTTACTATCCAAGTTCCAGAACTGGCATTGATACGCTTCTGTGTGGAGGATGAGATATCACTGGTTGCAAACGAATTCCTTGGTCAATACACTTTACCACTGCTGAGTCTGAGTAAAGGTAATGTTTTTTTGTGAGCCACCTGTAAGAGCTCAAAAAAGTCTACAATATTCCAGACTTTTATCATTACTGTAGTATTAATAGAGTACAGCATTATGTTTATTTCCTAAAGGAGAATTGTATAACCATAGGGAAAAACTGTGTTTTAAGTCATTGTAGTCTCTGAAGGCAAATCCACAGTGTAGAAATCAAAAATATTAATGAAGGTTAATTATTTCTACTGCAGTATTCCATTCTAGGCAGAAAGTGCTCAGATGGTATTTCAACTCATTCTAACAGGAAACAGAAAGAGAGATTAGTCAGAACTAGTATAAAGGCAACAGTTTCGTGCACTTTCTACTCTGTTAGGCTGAAAACCAAATATAAACCAAATCAAAACAAACCAAAAACCCCTCTGCTAACCTATACACAACTTTTCAGAGTGAGGAATGAAGAATATAAATAAGGCAAAATTTTTATGGTATTTTTCTTGGTAGTGTTTCTTTTATTGTACCGATACAGCTTGTGGAATCTTATGTGATTAATAGGCTGTACATAAAGAGCAGATATTGAAGTCAGTAGGCCAAGGAGAAAGGCTTATGTAAAATGGCGTTTACTATATTGAATTTCCAAAGCTATTTCTGACAAAACAACCAACCAACTTTTATTAGTGAATGAAGATGTGAAGGCAAAATGTTGGAGCTGTCAATGGACATTGTGCCTTTTTTATTAAGCTTAACAGGATTTTTAATGTTTTTTCTATCCAGGTTCTTAGGTCATAAAGCTGTTTGTGATTCTTAGTTGAGGTTGAGGAGTTACAGAAGAACAAAGACATTACTCATAAAGCACACTTACATTTCTCCAACATAAATTTTTATACTGATCACCTTTCACTTTCCTTTTATTTATATATTTCAGGATAATGAAAAAAAAAAGCCCTTCCAACTCATGATGTCTGAGACAAATTTAAACAGCAGACACTAAAGCTTACATATTCTTGTAAAAACATCAATTTGGTTTTTTTTTTAATGTATAATTTTTCAGTGTGCCTCTAATGTGCCTGTATGATTAATTTTGGTCACAAGTGGGGATTTTGAAAAAGTAAAGAGCATGAAGATTCTACAGAAAAGATTTTGAGTGGAGTAATTCAAAATGCTATGAAATTAGTGTAGATACAAAAAATATAGAGTCAAACAAATTGCCCCAACCCCCACTTAATGTAAAAAAAAATGTAAGATGCCATCAAGATGCCTAGAGTCTTCTAAACAATGAACTGAAAGATAATTTTAAAATTTACTGCAATGCTTAACATTGAGACCTCTGGATTCCAGGTCTGGAACTATGGTTTTGCTTTGGGTACCTAAGCTCCCTAAATAATGAAAAAGGAAAATAATGTGTTTTACAGAGGGAGACACAACAGTCTAGATTTCTTAGGAAAGAACTGTCTAAACCATGCTGAAGAGTGAGTTAGGATTTAAAACTTACTCTTCACAGCTCTGACTGCTTTAATCTGCGCTACAAGACTGTTCTTCCTTCCCTAGGATTCATATCCCTGAGGTGTCTCTGAGGGCAAGTTGCTTCTAAAAGCTGAGCAGTGCTTACATCTTTTTTTTTTTTTCTCTGACAGGCAGTGGGACAAAGTTGTGCCATTGCCACTCTCCCCTGCATTTTTTCTTGAAAGGATTCAAATACATATCCTCACTGCCTTCCTTCCCCAGCAGCTTTCCCAACTCAGCTGTAAATTACACTGGGGAAAAAATGCTTGCTGCCTATCTGTAGCAGTATTTGATTTTTCATACAATGATTAAGCAGGTATACTCAGAGGGGCTGAAGGTGATAATAATTCCCTAGTTGGGTGGTTAAAGACAAGAGGAAGAGGGTGCTGGGTTACAGTCTGTGCCCTAGTGAGTCTGCCATGCAGAATATTAATAAAGAACAGGAGCTCAGTTATTACTGCTATTATCACCAGATCGATGAATAGTTAATTATTTCATACAAATTGGAACAATTTAAATAAAGTTTTATTTCTCACAGGACACTTTGGAGAATATCCTGTAGGTAGGTCTTTAGAAATGAGTCTTAGTCCTTGAAGTGTATCTTTGGATAGGAAATAAACCAAGTCTTCCACATACTGTGTGCGTGTTCTAAAAGTTGATCTCAAAAGCATATTGCCTGGACTCAGCTTCAATATCTGCTGCCCAGAAGCTGAACTTTAGAAGCCAGGTGAATTTTCATGATGTATAACAGAATCAGGAAACCCCAAACCCAAATAAATGAGGGACCCAAAGACTGCACACACATCCAGAAGGAGGATTTTGAAAACTGCCGTTCTGAACGTAGATACTTAATCATAACAGATACTTAAATTACTGCAGTTGTATACACATAGGTAAAACACAGAACCTTTTTTTACTCAATTGAGTGACATTGTTTATTATTATGGACTAATGGGCATTTACAGTCATATAAAGCAATACAATTTTGGGGTTTTGGAGGAGGATTGTTTTGTTTTCCAAGCAGGTAAGTTAATTAAGTTTGAAGTTGAGAACTATAGCTTCTCCAAATGCTTCAACAACCACATGAACATGTAGTTTCTGCAGCATGCCTTATCTCTGATACTGGAAATCACTCATATGTAAAAGGAGATCCTTAACAGACTTGAGATATCATGGTAGAAGATACTACACTACACTTTTTATCTGCTTCAGCTAGACTGCATTATTGCTGCAACACCATTCTTGTCCAAGGCACTATCACTATTGATTCACAAGTTATTTAATTTTCAATCAGAACTATGCATGCAGCACATAACAGCTTTGGATGTTAAAAAGTCTGCTTTCCCCATGTTTAAATATCATTGGACTAAAAGCCTTCAGTGTGAAAAAACACCACATCCTGAAAGATACTGCAGTTTTTCACTGTGTCTAAACATGCCAGAATTTAAATACTGTATAGGTAGAGGAGAAAACAGTAGCAATGGGATTTGGGATATGTATCCTTTCAGTTTATTTGAAACGGTTAATTAGAGAATCATGAATTTATGTCTTATTTGCGTAGTAGGTCATAAAAACACTCCCATCATAATCTTTGCATTTGTGCTTAATATACTAATAATGTGTCATTATATTTACAGGTTACTGTAATGTTCCCCTGTTGTCCAAAGATGGTGACAACCTTGAACCTGCATCGCTATTTGTTCATGTCTGGTACTACTAATGACACTCTGCAGTAGCAGTTGTTCTGGAGGATCACACCCTGTTCAATAAAGCAACATTACTTGACTTGCACCAACCCAGTGGTCTGATTTCCAGAGTAGCATGTTCTTAATTATTTATTAAGTTAATGGGACTTCTTGTGTGAATAAATGATATCTTGAATAAGGAATGGCTACTGACATTGGCCCTACCATTATTTAGAATTAATTCATAAAGACTGAACTTTTTTGGATGTTTTCAAAAGTCAGTTAGCAATTTCATTTGCAGCCAATTTCAAAATTATGATTAATTACTGAGTGAGAATAATAGTCTGATATTTATAATGAGACTGAAAAATTGAGCGTATTACATTGACATTTTTATTGAACAAAATATCTTACCATTGTATCTTTCCAAGGGAACCAGAAAAATTACACATACAATGTACCCTTTAAATTTATAATAACCACAGCTTCTGATTGGGCTATACTTCTTTAATGTCTACTGTAATTTTGCTACCCAGAAAAAAAGTTTTGAGAAAAAACCCCCACCTCTGAAAATGCTAAAAAGTCAGATACTAATATTGGTGCCTGTTCTTAGCTTAGTCTTGAACCTCCTGCTGCTCAAGACAGACAAATAATTCATGGTCTGATTTGAAAAGGGCTATGTTCCTCATAAGCAGCAGGGAGCTTAGGATACATCTTACTGTCAACTCAGGAAATAGCAAGCACAATGCTTTTTAGGTGGACTAGAAGAGCTTTAGAAAAGGCAAGAGTTGATTCTGTGATTTAAGAACTCTGGGGACAACTACTTGCTTAACATAGCTATTGGTGTAGATCTCTCCCATAAGACACAATTCTCCCATCTTCCTTACAAAACTGAAGTATTTTTGAGCTTCCACAGGACTATATCTACCTCGTTAATTGCAGATTTGTTATTCAAACACTGCTTTTTCATTTTGTTTTCAAAAAGGGACGTTATATTGATAGGTTTCTTTCTTTAATAACAAACAGTATTGCTTATGTTTGCAGACAGTTCTGGTAATATTTCGTTTTAATGTTCTTTTTATTTAATGCTGTTTTAATGCTATGTTATTTAATGTTGCTCTAAAATGGAAAATCAGGGCATGCGGTAAACAATTATTATAAAATGTCACAGGAAATAACACTATTAGAAAATTGCATTATATTTATAATAAGGAAACCAAGACAGACTAAGAGGAATCTAAATCAATATTGATCTGTAAGGTCAGGTAACTTGATAACATTGTAAGTTGACTTCAATATGTTTTCTGTGCTTGTGACAAGTCACTTGGTTCTTTACCCAGGAGAGCCTATAATCTAAAATGTTAGACTGTGATCTTTGTAGTGATCATATCTGTATGCTAGCCAATATCCCTTTTACACAGTAAATATTTTATAGCTTTTTTTCAGCCCTGAAGAATACTAATGATATTAATATTCAAGCAGAGTTGCCCCCACCTCCCCTTACTGAGGAGGAGTTTAATTTCCCCAGGTGATGTGGTGTATCTGGTCTCAGATAAAAAATGACCAAGTAACACATTCAATTGGTTTGATGCTGAGAAAAACTCTAACTTGTTTAGTTTCCTAAAGAACACTCCTAGTCCCACTTCAGGAGCTTTGTACAACATTGCATTCTGAAGACTGATTCTGGCATTATTATTCTTCTGTTGACCACTTTTCCACCAGGTAGGAAAATTTCAGACCTATTCAGTATATGATAATTCTAAATTTTAGAGCGGATCAGATAACAAATAAAAGTCTCCTGTGCCTTTAAAATGTGCCCTTGGTCCTGGAGAGATGTAATACATGTTCAACTATGTGTGTATAAGAGCCTGGCAATAATGGACAGTTTATTATGGCTACTCACATGCTAAATGTTTAAAGATGTGCTTAAGTGCTTCCTCAATTTAGGTAAAAATGCTTTGAAGAGCAGAGCCCATAATTAGCCTCAGTGAACTCAAACTCACATCCATTGTTTAATATGTATATATATATATATACACACATTTTATAGCCCTGAGGTCAATGAAGGTATTGTTTCCCTTAGGCAACATGAGAATGCAATGTGGTAAGACTGGTGAACAAAGATTCCTTATAGCATGATCTTAAATACCACACTGAAAGCTCACATTCAATATGTTTTATTTCTTTGTGAATATTAGCTTCTCCCTCCTCCTCTCTTCTCACAAATGACCAGTTATATCTGCTTCTTGGATGTCAGAATAAAAGAAACAATGATATCTCTTACTGACAAATTAATATCCTGGTTTGAATGTCCCATTATACCAAAAGTTAAAATAGCACACCAACATACACTGCACAAAATATATAAAGTGCAAAGATTTTTTTTTAAATGTAGTGGTTATATAAGCTTTAACATCAAATTTGCTAGACATCTGAAATGTATTGGCACCCAGAGAACCATCCCACAGTTCTCTGGTGAAATCATCATATGCAGTGGAGTCATACCAGATGCTGATAAATTAAATCATTATCAGCATTGTTTCAAGAGTCAGTGGACTTAATGGGCAAAGAATTAGGGCCCACACTTCAGCATGTACAGAATTCAGTATTTCTACAGTACTATTTACTATGAACAAAACAAAAATCTTTATTGCTGTCATAAGAATTACCGGCATGCTGCTACAAGTTCTTAGCATGTGATTTCTTAAACTCACACTGACAGGAATCTGTTGCAGGAAGATGGTAGCAATTTTAAGACAATAGCCTTATGATTAGAAATGTTAAGGTATGTGATCAGCAGACGACTGCATATTCTCAAGGGCATCTGAGACAAAAAGTACTGTGGGAAATGGGATAAAGAAACATTAGTAGATAAATAATTGAATTATCTGAGACAGCATTTAAATTACACTGTTTCCCAGTGGATACCACTTTTCTTCATTTAACCGGACACAGCTTAGCTGAATGTTACCTCCCATAAATGCTCTTTTGCTTTTCACAACAAGCTTCAGTATACAGCCTTTGAGCTCTGTCATAAACAACCCGAAATAATATATAATGAAACAGAAAAAAAATATAAATTTGTGAATCTATTTGACAGGCAAAACACTTACTTCAATACAACATTTGGGATGATGATTACAACTTTAATAATTATTTTAAACTGCCCTCCAAAGTTATAAACTACTAAGTATGAGCCAAATCCACTAAGCTGGCAGAATCTTTTCTGTCGGTAGTTTAAAAGATTCTGCCAGTTCAGGTTTATGAAATCTGATTACCAAGCATTCGTAAATATATTTGAAACCTGAGTTGTGCAAAGCTTGAGAAAAAAATAGGTATACATAATTTTCCCTATGAAAACTGAAACTCTAACTTACGCAGAGTTTTGAACTCAAATATGAAAAAATAGCAGATCCTCTAAGAAATGATACCGTTGATTTTCTGGAAGCGAGATTCACATGCAGGGTACTCATCATGGACAGCAGCATCTAAACAGAAGATAGGTAATTCTGTAAAAGTGTAGATTATTATAATTTTTAAATATCTTTCCATAGTAGACGCTTTGATAAATGGTATTGCTCCTGCAAAAATCAGGAAAAAAAACAGGAAAAGAGTTTTGCTGTAACTTTAACTTGTGTATATTATTTGTTACATGTTCCTTAGTAATGCCTTAAAGCAACTTCATGTTGCACTGATACATCTTATAAAGGTGTATCATCAATGCACAATACCTCAGATTTTTTCTCAGTACTATAGTTGTGATTAAATTTGTTCTACATACCAGAATTAAAAAAGATCAAGACAAAGCAAACACAATTTTTCTTCTAACCAAGACTTCCATAAAATTTCATAGCTGTTAAAGCTCCAAGAAGCCCATATCATAAAAAAGATAATAATTTTCCTTTGAAAATTGTCTGTATAATTTTATTCTTTCAATACAAATAACTTTACAAATTATTCTGGATACTAATTATATTCAAATATGCCCATTATAAAAATGCTTCTATTTTTCATGGAATCATCAAATATTAAACATGACAGAAAGCTCAGCCCACTCAGAAGTTGTAGACGTGAAACGTCTCTGAGATTGGACTGCTGGATGTTTCTGTTACTCAAGAAGTGCTGTTAATTCTTCTCAAATTAAATGAGACAGCTTTCTTAGCATCTCTTTGGAAAAATCACTAAGGCCTGTATTTTTTAAAATATCCTTTAAATTACCTTAATATGAGAATACACTGAGTTTAATTATGAAATGTTACTGGTGTATTTTCTGAAATAAAAAAAACCCAAACAGTCTGGAGTAACAGGCTAATAAGAATGAGCTGCATTCACAACAGATTCCTGTGTTTCTGTCTCTGCATTAATCATAAATTGCTGAGTGAACTGAATGTGGGTTGATAGAACGTGAAAGAATGCTCTCAGCTAGTTTCAGGCCTGAAAAGTAAGCTTTGTTTAGAGAAGGACATTTACTCTAAAATGTGTAAGGCTGGAAATGTTTTTACTATTTTGGTTGCAATGGAAAATGCTTTAAATTTTAATCTCTGTGCAGTTTAAAAAGCAAATGCAGTGACATGCTGTCACTTCAGGAGAATGGGAAAGTGAAACTGCCTAAAAGATGTTTGCTATGCAGCCTGCTTGGATTTACTGTGCAATCTGAATGGAGTCTATACACATGGCACTGCTGAGAAAAGTCAGACTGAGCCCCCTCTAGCTTGGATCTTTACAGACTGGACTGCTGCACCCTGTCCTCTCTATACCTCCAGTTAGAAGCAGCAGAAATGGTCATGGGAGATGTCCTTCAGAAAGGGATAGAATTTATGAAGGCTCAGCCCCAGCAATGTTCCTCACACTGTGTGCCAAAAGAAAGGTGGTTCTGAACTTCACAGGTGTACCCAGAAGGCACAAAATTGTTGGTTCTCCCAGAAAAGCCTAGTTGGCCTCTGCTGCCCCTGTGGGACCACAGAGTGATTTTGTTTGGATTGGGAGCTGCAGGGATGTGGCAGCAGTGCTAAACAGGCCATAAGGCTACTCTGGCAGCCAGCACCAACAGACAGGTGTTTTGCCAATCATCAGGCCTAGCATAAAGGACACAGCCAGCATAAAGATGAACCAATAACCAGATTTGACACAAAAGGGTCAGTACATGAGTGAGCACTGGGGGTACAAACAAGTCAATCAGATTGTACATAATCAACATCAATCCCAATGATCCCAACAATGACACCACACAACCAACAATGGGTGGAATAAACAGTGAAATACAGTCTCCCATAAAAGGGATAGGAGACAACCAGGTCAACCAGCCAAATACATAAGAGCAAAGAAACCCCATAATGAATCCCTACAGAGCCCAGTAGGGATTACAAGAGCCAGACCTGACTGGAGCACAGTTCCAAGGAGTTGGGATATCCTTTCCACAATGTGGATCCACCTGACAGACACTTCCCCCCTTCTCACAACTGGTCCCAGTTTTTATCCCCAAGTGGAACACCTGGGGCTCATTTACCTAATGGCTCTCCTGCAAGGCTGGCTGCACCCTGGAGGGAAGCTTAAAGGTAACTCACCCCCTCTTTGTGAAGGGCTCTGGGAATCACCCTTATGTCAACCTTAATTTGGGGCTTGGAGTTGAAACCCCAGCATTTCAGCAGAACACCAAACCCTCTGGTGTAAGGGGATAATCAGTGCTGTGGAGATGAACAGCTACTGCCACAGGTTGTGGGGGAATGAAAAACTGTCCCACTCACTCTTTTCAGCTGGCTTTTATTAAAAAGGTCTTGCTGATGAGCAACATTTCTTTTAGCGCTTAGAAACTTTTGGAAATCATAATTTGGAACAGCTGTCATGAAAATCGCACCTGGTGCCTTTTGGATTTGACGTTTACAGTGCCTATTTCATCAAATTGTATGTGAATTAAAAATTCCAGCTTTTCTGTCCCCCAGTGGCATCTCCCCACCAAAATCAAAGTGAAATGATGTGGGAAATACAAAAAAGCAAGGACAGATACAGTAAGAGATAATATAATTTGGACTAAATCTGTGATTTGATTACTGAAGTGATGCTAGTATTATAGAAAAGTGCCTTGATTCTTTGCCAGTATACTAAAGACAACATCTTCAGCTGTTGCTTTAAATCACCAAAAAGTGTACATGTAAGCTGTAAGAGCCAAGAAATCTTCACTACAGTGGATCACAACAGACATGAACTGGGATAATAAACAACTTTGAATCTCTGCACAAAAAGCTTTAAGCTTTGAGAAGTGACAGAACTTAGAGCACAGAGTACAGTACAGTTTTCAAATGATCCTAATAAACCGTTTCTAAAATGGTATTGCAAATTTAGTTGGAGTAAGGTATAGATCATCAGGATGTAGGGACAGAAAAAAGGTCTGGAGATAGCTGAATTAGTATGTGGATAAAACAAATGCCACCTGCCAGAATTTCACAGTCAGAAATGTTAAATCCTAAAAGGATTGTGTTGTAAGAATACTTGCCTCTCATTTATTTATACATCTAAATCAAATGTAGGCGAGTTATACACAGCCATGGAGCACATCAGTGGGACAGTTAGGGCTCGAATTCAAGTATTGCTGGCTCCAAAATGAGAAGCACCGTTGACCTACAGGAGTTTAATGACATTTTTATCACATATATGGGAGTTGCTTCTCCTTAGGTAGTCATGGCACAATTCCTAGATTTGCTCTTAATTGTCCAAATTGGCTTTGACACACGGTGCTGGAGGGAGCAGCTGTGGCTCCTGGTGCAGCTCCCCTCCTCCCCCCTATCAGGTTTGCTGGGGCTATTCTGGTTGTTGCAGGCCGGAGTCCCCTTTGCTCTGAGGGCAACTGCGATAGCACTAACAGGCTGATGCGCCCAGGTATATTTGCTCACATTTGTCCGCGTCCCAAGGGCAGGATGAAGAGAGTTCCCTCTCGTTCTGGTTTCATTATGGCAATGCACACTCAGCTTTGTCTTGGAGGTTTGCTCATTCCATGGGTGCATGTACATGCAGGCACTTGAGGCAAACGGACGGCAACAGACCTTGAAGCGTGTCTCAGGGCAAATGCTACACATGTGAGCAAGACCCCACTGCACTTGGTTCTGGTTACTGTGACTTTTCTGGGCATGAGTTTAAACTTAAATAATTCAGAATTATTTACAATTTCTACCTTTTTTTTTTTAGTTTTGACTAAACCACTCTGGAACCTCTTGAGTAACTCCTATCTCCTATATATTTCTGACAGTGGTCTATAACCAGATACGTTATTCTTTTTACACTTCATTCCATTTTTCTGTGTTCTTTCTCCTCTTCTTTTTAACCATCATTTTTTAATGCAATATCAGTGTGAATACAACAAAATCCAAAATCCAAATAAAGGAACAGGAGAAAAAAGGAGTGCTTGTTAAAAACAACTCCAAAACATTTGGCATAGTTCATTCTATTGTCAGAACTCCTGGACTTTCACATCTTTGCTCTCACACACATGAGTAAAAATCAAAACTAAAATGCACTTTTGCAAGACTGATAATTTGCTGTAGGCAGCCATAAGTCATAAGAGTACAAAACTAAAACCAAAAATACCCAAGAGAAGTACATATCAGAATTTTCTCAGTCTCAGACACAGAGAAAAATTAATATACAGCTTCCTTCCAGCCATTTGGCTTTAATAAAAACTTATGAACTCATAAAAAGGCTAGTACATTTCTGTACACAGCGTTTTGGACAGTAACTAACTTAAGAGACAGCTGACTTATATTTTTAGTAGCTTTTCTTCCCTGGGGCAGCTTCTGCCTCGGTCTACCAGCCTTAGACAAAAAATGCATACAGAATGATATCACACATGGAAGAACAGAGCTGCTAACAGCACAAGCATTGGGTTTGAAATGTCCAAGTTCAATGGAACCATATGTCCCCACTGCGAGTTCCTGGTGAAAAATATTGAGCATCTGTGAAGAAGGCTGTAAGTTTTGAGTAAAGGATATAAAAGTTTTCATGAGATTTCTCTTAACAGCAGTGGAATGTGCCTCCACCACAATTAATTCTCCTCCCAGTGTCTAAAGTCTAACTGCAGACAGGAGTTTGGATTTTCATGCATTCAACTTGATCTAATAATGATTAAAAAGATAATTGTCTTCTAGTGTTGCTGGCTGGTTCTTGTCTGTAGTCCATTTTGGATACTTTACAATGAATGTTATTATATAATATTATATTTCTTAGCTGTAAATATCCTTCAAATGTAAAGGAACTTCTTTAAACAGTCCAATTAGACCCATTCCACTGTCTCTTTGAAAAAAAAAAAAAAAAAAAAAAAAAAAAAAAAATAACAAAAAATTAAAGTCTAGTTCCCTATTATTCCACTGCAATACCATAGGGAGGGAAATCTGTCTCAGCTGTAAGCAGCAATACTACTCAAGGGGTCTCCTTACAGAAGTAGTGGAATTCATCGGGATAAGTAGGTAACTTTTGTAATCAAATACATGTAGGAAAAGAAAAAGAAACAAAAGTCCCAGGACTGGGAAACTAGGAGGTAAGGACTTAGTCTCAGCTGACTAAAGCTTCACCATATCTTATCTATGAAACAGGGTGGAGTGGTAATATTTTCCATGCCTTCTACTTTAAAACCTGCTCAAGAAGCATTTGTAAATTGCTTTGAATCTTTAGCAGATATGTTAAATGTAATAATTATAATCCCATCCCACCATATAATCCAATCCCACCAACTGTTTGAATCTCATTCACCCTTACAAAAGAATATGGTTTATGCCACTTCCCATTCTGTTGTAAATGTTTCTCCATACAAATGTTTCTTTTCACCCAAAGGCATGAGCACTTCAGTGGTGTGTGAAATAATTATATATGGCTGTGCACTGCTAGCATTTTGATGCAAAAAGAACTTGGCTATTGATCATTGTGTTATCATTTAGGACAGTGGCAATCATTTTGGTTGTCTGTTTTCAAGTGTAAATTTCAACAGCATCTGTTCAATTCACACTTTTGATGTTATACAAATTTACAATCAAAACAACCTAGGTTTTGGTGCAATGATGCTTGGTCTCATTTGGCTAATGTGTACCTGTGGTTATGGTGTAAAATAGAGCACTGTGAATAGTCCAGCTGCTTTCCTGAAGAGACAGGTATAAAGAGACTGTTTCACTTCTGAGTAAAATGCAAAGCAGAAGATTGTCCCCATTTGTGGTTCAGCTTATTTCATGTTCCTTCATTTTGATCGTCCTTATTGTAACAGCTCTAAATGCCGTATTGTTATTTCATTTTGAGAGTGGGCAAAGAAAAGAAAACAAGTAAGAAATGGTGGAAGAAAGTGAACGGTATTCACAATTTCTTTGTATGTAGGGTCAGATCTTTTTAGAGCTGTTCTTGTTTTCCTTTGACTGACCTCATAAGGATCTGGCAGAAGATAGAATTCAGCGTGTGCACTTGGGGCAGAGCCATCTGGGAGGCGCTGAAAAATAAAATGGTGATAAATATGAAAGCCCATGTTCTAGCAATGAAAACAAATAAAAAGTACCAAATGAAATATAGACTTTAAACAGACACAGAAACATATTTCATTCTCAGTATTGACTTGGCTAAATTGGAGTGCTAGTGCAGTAAACACAAGGAATTCTTAGAATTCAGCTTAATATTGAATCAGAGAAATAGAAATGAAATAATACAAGAACAAGGTAAAACTTCATATCTCTAATATTTTATGTTCTGATGGAAAAACCTTTAAACCTCAATCTACTTTAATTTAGCTTAATCTGACACAAAGTTTAGCCCTTCCATTTTCCAAAGCAATGCATAGAAATTGGGTTCTAGCCAGTAAGCTCCTATTGATTTTAATTCTTAAGTATCAGTGTTGATGCTGAGAAGAACTGATTGTTTCTCAGGGTTTTTCATAAAGCATATTAGAAGAGTCAGGAGCATTTCCTACAGCAATATGGGCAGAACAGGATTCTTATAACAACAGACTTTCCGATCTCTCCCCTCACACAGCTGCAAACTCTCTTTAATTTTCCAGTTCATGTTACTGAACAATATTCTAGATATTCCATCTCATGGTAGCTACTCAAGATCAGAGCTAATCTATTAACTAGGCTCAGTCATAAGCTAATGCTGGTGGGTGGAGAGCTTTTTGATATCTTCTGAACAGCTGTAAGGTTATTTGTAAAGCAACTACAGTTACTCAGAAAACACAGTGGTAGTATGAAAGTCTTTAAGAACACAAGAAACATAATAATGAAAAAATATGGAATGGGTATCTTGCCAGCATATGTCAATTAGTGCTTGGTTTATAATTAAGCAGAAACCTTTGTGCTGGTAACACAGTATGCAATCAGAAAGCACAAAATAAGGCATATCAAAATATCAGTAATTTTAATTGCATTATCAGCATTTTAGGAAACAAGTTTACTTGACAGTTCATACTTGACAGAATGCAAATGAAAATGCAGGCAAAAAGATGAGATCTTAAAATGTTTGGAACCAGTGAACCCAGACCATTATACAGGCAATTGCATTTATATTTCCCATTGTAATTTTACCTGTCACAGAATAAAGTAGTTTCTCAGATTTTGATTATTCACAGTATGTGTCTAGAAATATGGGGCTTTCTACAGGCACTATCAACAACGTATCCTTGTGATAGGAGAAACTGCTGGTGTCCTAGCAATAAATAACTTCTCTATTGGGAAGAAAAACCATGCTTGTGTGTGTGAGCAATGAGTTCTTGCACAACAAATCTCTGTTTTTTGTTTTCTGAAATGATCCTTCAAGGCAAATGATGTGGTCAACTGCAAAGCTTATTATTGCTATTGTTAACATTATACAACATCAAACAATGTACTACTCAAATCATTACATATTGTCAGCACTAGTTATACGATTAATATTACTATCACTAAGCTCCCCAAAGGACATCTGATTTAAAATATACATGGGATTTAGATAGATGGGATTCAATGGCCAAAATAAGGATGCCATTAAATGGCACTGAAACTAACAGGTATTTTCTTAGGACAGAGTACCATATTGTTAATACAGGATTTATAGTATACACTGTCCATTTGAAAGCTCTCTGTTGATCCAGGACTACACTAAAACTTCAATCCTGGATTACAAATAACAGTAAATTGAACAGTCTCTTAAAAATCAGGAGAAAGAAATGTAGCCTTAAATACAGGCCCAAGCAACCAGGATCCTAACTGTAACCAAGCTTTCTCCTCTCAGTGAACAGATAAGCATCACACTAGCTTGAAGATCAAAAGATTTCAGTTGTTACAGGCAAAAAATGGAACATGGTTAAAAATAAAGGTGGGGAGGGGGTGGTAGTGGTGTCATTCTTGAAGAAAACCTTATCAGCTCAACTGCTGAGGCCCAAGTCAATGACCTTCCCTATCTCAAGCATGGAAATACTGTACAGGGAGAGTTATGTAAAATGTCAGGCTTTATAGATTATCCCAGCAGTGTATTGCCTAACCAGGGACCATGTCAGAGCTAATTTTGAAAGCTGACGACAGCAGCAGCTGCAAAGGACACTGGTCTGAGGAGCCCAGATGGTAGGTAATGGACTACAAAAGCAACAGAGAGGATAGCTGCATCTGTCCAGTTCTGTTCCCATTTGAGCTGCCCAGCCAAGGTACAGTCACAAGTGCTGGGTCCCACTGCACACCTCAAGACAACAAAGGCACAGATCATGGCAGAGTGATTCGCATTTGAAACAGGCTCAGTCTGACATTCACCTGCCAGGGAAAGAATCCAAGCCGATTGCCCCCAATTGTTTAACAGGTCTGGGGTATCCAGAATCCATTTGATGAATTGAAAAAGAGTCAGATAAAATTGTGACTATGCCTTTGAGCTGCTCCTTGTACTTTGCTAGCAATGCTGGCATGTTCTCTAGCCTTCAGTCAACCAGCTTTCCTCCATGAGCCAACTCCTCCCAAAATCTAAGGCAGGCACTTTGCGGTAGTGCTGTGGCTGCGTGAAACACGGACAGAAAACTACTTCCTCACTATCCCTTCAAATGTAGCTAAATACATGTTGAAAGAGATGAGGGGTCGGAGAGGGTCAAGAGAGAAAATCAAAAAAAGAGACTGTTTTAGCAATTCAGAGAAGAAAACTCAAGTCAGAGCAGTTGCTCTGGGATCTTTCAGAACTAAAACAAAGTCACTTTTCATGAATAGTAGCAATCAGCAGCCAGACAGTTAGAGGTAATTTAAACTGAAGCCACCTGAATTCCAACTAGATGTCTTAGTTCTGGTGATTGTTTCTCCCCCCCCCCACAGTATCATATTTAGTGAACAAACTCCTGGATTATCCTTTCACTTCTAACTCAGACTGCATTGTCACATTTATAAACTTAGGTAAATATGAAGAAGACCTGACTGAAATGCCACTCTCATTTGCACCAAAGAACATCTTTTCTGGTGGGTCCTTTATAAACACAGAGTAAGATTTTGAGCAGGCTTATGAGTAATTCTAAAGTCCAGCAAAACCCTCTTTTGTTATTACTAATGGCTCAAAAATAACTGATTTCTGTCCATAGTCCCAGCCAGAGGGAAAATCAAAGGGTATCTTGGGAATGCCATTTTGCACTTTAACTATGCAAAATCTTTATAGCTTGCATGTACATATGATCAAGAACTCAGAAAAAAACCAAGGTTTTATATTGAATTATATTTATGTTTAATTCTGTAGTTGTTTCATTAAGGCAAAAATAGAGGGAGTTTTCTTCCTTTACCAATTTAAATTGCTGTCTTAAATCTTCTATTGTGTATGCTTGTGAATAAATTCAAACTATAAAAGTCTGTAAAGCTGAAAAGTTATAAAACAAAGTTCCCAATTGAAATGCCATAGCTCTCCTTGCTATGCCTATTGACAAAAAAAACCCTCAGTGGTTTTGATATGTCAATAAAATTTTTTGAGTTGAATTTAGAAGCTGACTCCCTGTACCTTCTTCAAACACAAACAAGCCACAACTGAACAATTTTCTCAGAGAATGACCTGCCTACTTTACCTTGATAATGACTGATGTTTTTAAGGAACTCAGTTACAACTGCCTGTGTATATGTTAAAAAAGCAGTTTATTTTGAAATGTTTTCTTCTAAAGTCAGGCAGAAGGTGATGAAAATATTTAAGAATGAGGGGGAGTGAGGGAGCGAAAATAATACTCTGGATTTACTTCTCTCTACATCTGTAATTCAATATTGAAAAACTAATACAGACATGTATCTGTCATGGCTGCGTTCCATTTTTCACTCCAATTTTATTTTTCCAAACCAAAAATGTATTGATATTTACTTATAGAAGCCCATGCAGATAGGTTATGTCTGTGTAATTTAATTTTAAATATATTCATTGTAGCTGGGAAATAATGGATGAAATTAAATTAATTTTTCCACAAGAATTACATTATCCTAATGACTTTTCTACCTTGATCATTACTAACCATCCACAACTCCTCTTTAAGGATGGATTATTTGTTGGCATTATGAAAGGCCTAACTACTTCAAAATTTGCCATATATTAAACTATGCAATTTAGCAGCCAATACGAATATTGAGCCTTATGCATATGAATTTTCAGTAAAGTTTTATGATTTAAAAAAATGCACTTTAGGGATAACTTATTGTAAAGCTTTTAAAAACTCACCTCTTCCTAAGTGACACCTTCTTTTTAGGTGACTACTGCCTCAAATTTAAATCATGTTATCAGTTTCTTTTAAGTGTTAGACATGTAGATATTTTTCCACCTTTTGTCCTAGAGTGAAACAGATTGATAGCTCCTGAACATTAGTTCCAGCTGCTGTTCTCTTTTCCCCATTTTTAATTTTCAACCATTTTGACCAAAAAAACCCACAAAAACAAACAAACAAAAAAACCCCACCCAAAGTTAACTTGTATTAACTAATGCTTCCTTTCCTCCTCTATAAATAACTTTCTTTCTTCCCCCAAAATTAATTTCCTGGACATTTTCAAATCTCAGTTGTTTTCTTCCCCTTCTTGAATGAAAAAAAGAAATCCAGGCTTTAGAAAGTTTCTCATTTCAGCTACTGCTTCAAATTAAAACAATATAAAATCATTCACTTTGTCCAGTAGCTTTAACTCTTAGTTTTCCTATAGCTTCAAGTTGTTCAAGTTGTGTTTTTCTCTTGTATGCACTGCTGTGAGAATTTATCTTCTACATAATGGACTACAAAATATTCCTTAATGTTTAATATTGAGATATACTTACATCTTTAAAAATCGTATAACTATAGCAAATGGTAAGAAAAAAATCTTCACAGCTACAAAGCAAAACATTTATATATAAAGTGTAGACATGAGGCAGATTTTATTATTATCCAATAAAGGAGGATTAGAAAAAAAAAATCACAGAAGAAATCAGCCTTTCACCCCAGTAACCTGTATAAATTACTAGCTGCCTCCTGACTAAATTAAAATTAGTAAGAAATGTGGAAAAGCCATCACTGCTGCTACATTGTCTTTCACTTTCTCTGAGTCCCTGAGTAATTTAGCAGAGAAAGGATAAACCCTGTCTTTGTAAGCTGCAGCTTAATTAACAAATACAGCCTCTGTCTTAGAAAAAGAGAACAGCTTATGGGCTAATTCTAAATTTAAAGATCTGAGAAAATAATCAGCACTAAAACAATGATAAAGGTTCCTTCAAAAACAGATTAATAAGATATATAAACCTTCAGGACTAACAGGACTGCTGTGTGAACGAGTGGTTATATTGTTCCTTCATAAATCCTGATGTGGGACTGAAGACCCTTCTTTGCTTTTCCTTTGAGCTCTGCATATCCCAAAGCACTGACAACCTTTATTCTACTTTGTTACTAAGCTTTTAGCCTTCCTGTCACAAAATATTTTCAAATTACTTCAAAGAAAATGAAAAATAAAATAATGCAAATGAAAATGAAATAATTGCAAAAGAAGATAATCCACCAGCTTGCTGTGGTGCACCCTGCGCTGTCTGCTATTGGCACAACAAAACTGAAAAGCAACCGGCCAGAAGTGATTGCAGAATTAAGGCATTTTTTTCCCCAAAACCTGACTTTTTCACCTAAAATTTGAAATAATTTAACTGCTTCTCTGCAAGATATGGTTATTTTATTATATTCTCTGATTCTAATTTCCACCCCCCCTTTTCTCCTTAAGCTACTTCATTCCTATTCCTAAATTCTTTCTTACCTCATGCATGCATCCAAGTATGTACATAAACCATGACACACTGTGACAGTTGTCACTGTGACAGACATCAATGTCAAAGCAACAAAAAAATAAATGAAGTTTATCTCAATTTAATGCAGGGAAATCAAAAGAAATATTGTTTTAGAACAACATATATTTTGCTTCAGGGAAGTTCTGGAAAGCATTTCTGAGCAGGCATTTTCTACCTTTCAGAAATCTGGTAGTGTCAGTGGAGCAAGCCTCCAGGTGGCCTTGTCATTTACTATGATAAAAATACAAAGGTGCTCTATCTGTGTTATTGATTTGAATCTCCAAATATAGCTTATGTACTTTGTGCAGTCCAATACCTTCAACATCCTCATCAACGTGCCTGTTGTACAGGCAGCTTCTCAGTGCACCGAATGGGCAAACAGTGCCTAACATGTGGGTGCTGTTAAATCAAGGAAAAACAGTGCTTTTTTCACTGTAGTTTATTCCAGCCCTTTCTCTCCCAGGTGAAATAAGGCTTTTTTGGGGGAAAAAAAAAAAAAAAAAAGGTACAGGTTTCCTGGTTTGGCTTTGTTTGCAGTACAGTAGCAAGGAGTTGTGCAGTCTAGCTGTTAAGAAAGTAAGTTGCATTTCTAATGGGAAGAACTGCACTGGCAAAAATAGTGTCTAGACATGTCCTGAGTTACAAAATCTCTAGAGTGATCTAACCAACACTGTCCAAAGTCTCCTGGCTGTCAAATGTGAAAAACTAACCCTCAGTCACTAAGACAGAAGGAAAGCATCACAGCTAATGCCCTGCGATGAACACAGTGGTTCTGGGCAAAATGTCAAGGTGTTGACCTATCCTGGTGCATACATAAGGTAGGTATGTAAGTTCCCAGTGAAGTCTAAGCAGATCTCTGTAATGCTGTCAAGGAGGGAGGCGGGAAGAGACTCAACTCATCATACTACGGACATCTCCTGTCTTTGCCTGGTTAAATTGCCCACACATTGGTGTCTGGCACCATTTGAGACACATATGATGCTTAAGACATCTGCATAAACTGTCAGACATGCCCTCCCTAAACTGTCATACCTGAGGCCCTCCCCTTCTGCAGTAGCAGCTGGAGACCAACGGGACATGTTAGGTCATCTCCTATATGTTTAGGAAAATGAATTGGGACTTAAGTCTCCACTGACCAAAATGAGAGCTTAGGTATCTAGACTAGGATCTCGTTTCTAAAATACTGCTGCTTCATGTCACCTCAGATGACAAAAAGAATGTATAAAGTTGGAAATACGACATAGGCTTTTATTAGAAACTGGCACCATTCTCGAGTGGTCACTGAAGGTCAAGCAAGATACTCCATGGTATTTGAAATAGCTATGATTGGGCAACTGAACGCCATCACATCGTATATGTATTCGTTTTAGTTTTAAGCTGAATCCCACTCCAATTAGGCCAAGGTACAAAGACAGTGGGATTTTTGAAATGAATAAAATTATTTGTTAAATATTTAACAAAACCCGTTTGTTTTTCTTGTAAGGAGAAAGACAGCTCTAGGAAACAGGCTGGATCCCAAAAGATTCTGGGCTTCGTAAAAACTGTAAAATGCTTCTGATTTGCTTCAGTCATTTGAGAGGAAAGCCCATCTATCTCTACTTAAATGCAGTACATAAAATGAAAGCTTGCCTGTGATACCTAGAAGGTCATAAGGGTTTCACTTCCAAGCCTTTATTTCTAGAGAGCTCTGAAAGCAGAATCAAACACTTTCAAAAAGATGAAGAACTGAGATTTAGCTCTGACTCCCTGTTTAAAAAGAATAATTTATTGTCTTGATGATCCAGAAAGAGTTGTATATTAGGATAGACACAATCCCAAATGAGATGGGGAAGAATCTGTGCAACTACGTAATTATAACTGCTGGGTAAAACAGGCTCTTGCCTTCTACTGACCATTGGCAGTAGCAGACAAGGAGGGCTATAATTTGGCTCCAGCAAGTAATGACACAGCTTTGTGTGCATTTACTACTGTTTCTGAATTAACAACAAAGAAAAAGATGATTTAGAATGTCTTGTGTCCCTATCCAGGTTCCTCAAAGCTTGTCTGTCTCTTGAGCTCTGACACCACTCCAATACTTCACCAGCACTCAGGACTAGATTACTGCGTGCTCCACATAATGCATGTGGATATAAAAAAGTTACCAAGGCTACAAAAACAATATAAAAAGTGTCAACTGTATAGCCAGAAGTGCAAATGTATTAAATGTTCAACTCCCAGCAAAAGATTTGAGCAAGAATCACTTAAAAGCTTTTTTTCCAAAAGAGAAGGAGGTGACAAGATATGTTCTAGATTCCTGAACCACATGATGTATTATTTACTATTTTTAATCATTTGTATTCCATTGTTTTGCATAGATGAAAGAAATAACCGTTAGGTCATGCTTTATAATTATATTGTTCTACGGATAAGCAATGCTGGTGCATAGAATGCAGAGAGCAGATTTCATGAACAAGTCTCTGAAACTTTTATTCCAGAATTACCACCAAGCCTGTAAAGAAGCAAAATTCCATTGCTTTCAACCCTGTTATTATTGCTGTGCTTGGAACATTTAATTTTCAGAAGAATATTGTGTTGCAAAATCCATGACACTGGCTGAGATGACTGATCTAGTTTGGACTCTTAGAAACATAGATCCCAGAATTTCTTCTCTCTTGAATAAAGCACAGAGGAGAACAAATACTTAAGACAAATCCTCATTTTGCTTTTTTTTTTTTTTTTTAAATCACTCAGGATTAACACAATTGGTGTCTGTTAGAGGACATGAAAGAAAATCAGGCTTTGAGAAAAGAAACACAACCAAATACTGTTGTTCTGTTTCTATCGTTTTGTCACATACATATTATTTTCTCTCTTTGTCTAGGAACAGACAGTAAATGGATATAATAATTCATAAAGAAATAGTGACACTGTTATCTGTGTCTTCACCTTGCACTTTTTTTTTTCTAAATTTCTTATTTTGTTAAAAAAATCTGTATATGCCTAATCCAGACTATATTTAATTTCTCAAACTGTACAGAGCACCCTCCACTTTTCTTTCGATTATTCTACAGCTTGCAATCTCCATTTGTAAGAAAGTGTTTCATTATCTGATGCATACCATTTCTGCTCCTTAATTACCTCTCATTACTTCTACTTATGCTCTTGCTTAATGTCCTAAATAATTCCTCTTGAACCTTGCTGTCTTCTGCCTCAAATATTTTCACAGTTGTCTTGTGTCTTTTTTAGTCTGTTCTTAACTAAGTTAAGTTTTAGTAACCATAAATCACTCCTGAAGAACCAATCACTCCCAAGTACCCCTACTGAGAACTGTTCTTTGAACTCGTATTCTAGCTTTTAACAAATATCCTGAGAGAAATATTTTGCTATCAAAGCCTTATAAAGATGAACTACTTTCTTTCTGCACTATGACACCAAGATCTGTCCTTTCTCATTGGCGTCTCTCATAGCAACCTCATGTCTAACTATTTGCTTGTTTTATCTTCAAATTACTGTGGGATATAGATCTATAACTCCCTGAGGAAACACTTTTCATTTGTTCAAGATGGTTGTAGGGTTCTAGAAATTACTTTTGTTCACTTGATCTTAATCTGTTTCCACTAGTATTTTTAAAGTTTTTTTCATTTACAATCAATAGCAAATTTAACTTATGTTCACCCTCATCTCACAGATCACTCATAAGACAGAGCTCACTGTTTCTTCCAGATTGGTTGTTCTGAAGGGTACAGGGGTCCAGGAAGGCTGGACACTCTTTAAGAAGGAAGAGTTAATGGCTGAGGAGCAGGCAGTCCCCAGGTGCTCTAAGAGAAGCTGGCCCCAGAGAAGACCACCCTGGCTGAACAGGGAGCTTTGTCTGCAACTCAGGGAGAAAAGGAGAGTTTACAGCCTTTGGAAGAAGGGGCTAGCCACACACAGTGATTACAAAGAGGCTGTGAGGCTATGCAGGGCAGAAATCAGGAGGTCTAAAGCTCAGCTGGAAATTAATTTGGCTTCAGCAATCAAGGACAACAAGAAATATTTCTATATCAACAGCAAATCAAAGACCAGGGAGAGCCTCCATCCCCTGCTAGATGCAGGAGGAAATTTGGCAACAAGTGATGAGGAAAAGGCTGAGGTGCTTAATGCCTTCTTTGCCTCAGTCTTTAATAACAAGACTAGTTGTACTGAGGGAATCCAGCCTCCTCAGCCAGAAGACAGAGACTGGGAGAACGACCCCCCCACAATCCAGGAGGAGACAGTCAGTGACCTGCTGCATCACACAGACACACACAAGTCTATGGGACGGGATGGGATACACCCGAGGGTGCTGAAGGAGCTGGCTGGGGTGCTCACCAAGCCGCTTTCCACCATTTACCAGCAGTCCTGGCTGACTGGGGAGGTCCTGACAGATTGGAAATTGGCCAATGTGACGCCCATCTATAAGAAGGGTCTGAACAATGATCCGGGGAATTACAAGCCTGTCAGCTTGACTTTGGTGCCCAGGAACCAGATGATCAGGCCCAGTCAGCATGGGTTTATGTCCTGCTTGACAAACCTGATCTCCTTCTACGACAGGGTGACCTGCTTATTGGATGAGGGAAAGGCTGTGGATGTTGCCTACCTTGGCATTGGCAAGGCCTTTGACACCGTTTCCCACAGCATTCTCCTGGCAAAACTGGCTGCTCATGGCTTGGATGGGCAAACGCTTTGCTGGGTAAAACACTGTCTGGATGGCTGGGCCCAGAGAGTTGTGGTGAATGGAGTTAAATCCAGCTGGCGGCCGGTCACAAGTGGTGTCCCCCAGGGCTCAGTTTTGGGGCCACTCCTGTTTAACATCTTTATTGATGATCTAGACGAGGGGATCGAGTGCACCCTCAGTCAGTTTGCAGATGACACCAAGTTGGTGGGAGTGTTGATCTGCTCGAGGGCAGGGAGGCTCTGAAGAGAGACCTGGACAGGCTGGAGCCATGGGCTGAGCCCAACTGGGGGAGTTTCCATAAGGCCAAATGCCGGGGGCTGCCCTTGGGCCACAACAACCCCCAGCAGTGCTACAGGCTTGGGGAGGAGTGGCTGGAGAGCTGCCAGTCAGAGAGGGACCTGGGG